CACTCAAACACACTCAAACACGTGCATGCACAAACACACTTAAACTTATATATATATATTTTAATTTATATATATATATATATATATATATATAGTTGATTATTTACGTATCTATTTATGTATGTATGTATTTATGTATGTATATATGAATTTATGTATGCTTTTATGTATGTTTGTGTGTATGTGTGTATGTAGGTGTATGTGTATATGTATTTATGTATGTCTGTATGTATGTATGTATGTATGTATGTATGTATGTTGTGGGTGTGGATGTGGATGTGTATGTGGGTGTGTGTCTGTATGTCCGTATGTGCGTAGGTGTATTGGTGTGTATATGTGTGTATACATATTTGCATTCAGGTCCGTCACATTTGTGTAGATATTCTATGTATTGCACGAATACATTTTATAGTCGTGTTTGAATGTACATTTTGCATCACTTGTTAATTTTATCAATTGTAGCCTGCCTCATTACTGATCTGCTTCTTTCATTTCTATCTTGCCTTATACCATCCCAGCTCAATTTGTCGCCGAAGGGACATTTTGCCTCTCTAACCCGCAAATCTTATACCAGGGCGGACATATTTCTATGCGTTAAGATGGAGTTGGAGCCGACAAACATTATAACGGATGTCACATGTATTGATATGGGCAAGGAACCCGTTCCGAACGGGTTCACATTGGTGGAATCAAGGGCAGGTATGTATAGAACTGTAGTACACCTGTGTTTTGTTTGGTTTGCGTATTGTGAGTTTCATGTATATACACACATATATTCCTGCTCAACAGTGATTGAGGTTATACGCACTGCTGAGGTACGGGGAAAACTTCTTTAAACCAAAGGACAATGGATGGGCCGTTCCGCATTAGCGAGGGCTTGTGTTATGTATGTATTTATTATGAGCCTTAGTACATTTGTCTACCTCTACCCGACACTTTCCTGCGATCGATAACATAACATTCGCGATGTTTGTATAATAGGTGGAGTTCGCACAATGGTCGCTGTGAAGAGGTCTCCAGTTGATGAAGCGAGTCATATGGTGACCAAAATATGCGCAACCTTGCCGAAAAAGGTACTTTGTTTTCACTTATGCGCTCGTGACAACACCTCGAATTTCTTACTATAGACTACCTCTTCCATCGAGTACGTCGGAGACCTATAGATGTATATGTATATACTAAGAAAAAGTGTGGGTAGATAGGAGAAGACCGAACTGTGAACAGTCAGATCGCAGAAACGATCAGCAAGAGTGGGGAGCGGTTTTTGAAATGGATAGCATAACCAGCTCAAGGGGGCAACGAAACGGTTCGTGTCAACCCGGAAGTAAAATATATAGAAACAGCACTTGATCAGCATCGCAAGTGTTTACTCCTGGGCTAGAAAGTACTTGGCAGCGCCTTGGCTCGATGATCAAAAAAATTAGGTCACCTTCAACATCGAGTGTGTTTTTCGGCTTAACAATTGTTGCGCCACAGACTAATCTCTGCGCTTGGTGTATATTGCTCTCGTACCTTGTGTGTGTGTGTGTGTGTGTCAGATGTTGTTTAGTCGCGCTGGAATTAAAGCGACATGGAATAGGTGAGAGCTGGATCTCTTTGTGTCAGCTTAAGTTTTGTATTGCAGGCAGGAGAGGAATTCGGGTTTTAATAGCCGACTTGCCACTAAGTTTTGTAACGAGCTTTGAACAGCGATCTGACGCTGCGGTGGAAGCGCATGGGATTTGCGGCTGGTGTGGGCACTGCAGAGGCACGGATTGGAGCGGTCTCCTTTCCCTCTTTATCAATCGAGTACTCGTAAAGTGAAGTCGATTGGCTCTATAATATGTCGCAAACATACACTATGAAATATTTTCATTCCGTGCTATGTTCATAATAGGCCTATCCTATCTGCTATCTGGTAGCTATGCTGATCTAACACCCCATCCATACATATTTGTTTTAAGTCTTCATGCACCTCTCCACCACACAGGAAGCACTAGACAGAGATTGGCGCGTACACAAGAAGAATTTAGGGGACGATGTGCATCTGGGCTACAAGCGGATAGTATTGAGCCGTGGCGCGTCAACCGGAGGGCCGCCGCGGCCAGCACAGTCGCCTATGGCATCGTCACAAGTTCCAGAAAGGCCTAGTTCGGTCTATTCATCGATGTATGTCCATGTCTGGGTTGTTTTTTTCTGATATATTTCGGGTTTCAGTTCGTAAGAACACAAACGTGAAATAAATCTAGTTTCGCTTGGGTTTCTTGTCAGTGTAAGTCATGTTTGAGTTTTTTCTCTGAAATAGAAATATATTATATGTCTCAGTTGCCATGGCATGTACCATTACTGGTTAGGCCTAGCGTGGTCTATCCGTTGATGTATGTCATGTGTCGGTTGATGTTTTCTTGCTTGCCCAGGCCTTGTCTCTGTGGATTCAGGCTGATTCAATTGGCTTCTCACGCCCCACGAAGACCAGCGTGTATCTTGCGAATGTTGCTGTGTTATATCGGAGTGTCTGTGAGCGAATATCTTGCCTTATGGGAACTTCCTTTGGTTTCCTCCTTGGCTGCTCGCTGGAAGTGGCGAGGGATACGATGCTGTTATGAATGCTAGGGCTGCCAGAGAATCGGGCATACTTACGCACCAGTACGGCCGTTACTATAGCGACAGCAGATTCAAATATTTATTGCTTGGTGGAATGCAAGTTTTTTTTTCTGGCATTATGGCATTCTTATGCCTCTGATCTAGCTCATGTCGGGCCGTTCCACAAGAATGTCCATACACAATTACACGCAGCTGCGTTCTTTCTCTCCATACAAACTTAGTTGTTCTACCCACCTTTTTATCTTTCTCTCCTTGCAAACTTAATTTCTCTACCCATCTTCCTATCCGCCATGCCCAGTTCACAGGCCGGCGCGGATGAGAGCGCAACTTCAGGGCTATACCCAAGTGTCTCTGGCAAACCCGGAATGCCATCACCTGTGCCTGTGGGTGCTATGTGGGAGGAACAGCCACCTGTGGCCCAATCACGGAGGAATGATTTGCAATATCCAGCTCTCGAAGGAATCACAGTCGACTTCGAAGCGGTATGTCGTTTTTAAAATTCGTATGTCACGTGTATGAGTTATACTTGTGTCGCAATGTATAGCTGTCTCTGTAGTCAAAACTGGTAGTATTTGTACGTCTGTATTGGGTTTTATCGGCTTATTAGCATCTGTTTCATAATGTGCATTGTGTGAGGCCCGCCAGGATTTGAATTGATATGTTTTAAATTTTGGATATCTAGGTTAGTGGCACTTAGATAATTTACAGAGCGATTGAGTGTTAATGCCCTTCGACGTCAATCGAGTACTAAGTAGTATTAGAATTTGGCCAGAAAACAATAAGGGCCAATCATGAGACGATTATGTGGTATTGCCAGGTCTATGAGTTGAAGTTCGGTACAGGCTCTCGGTTGTCCTTTCGACAGCCGTAGATACACTCTCTCACGTGCTTCCATCCTATTGCGAAGTTCTCATTACGGAGAAGCGCGTTCTGTCGCGTATTCATCTTTGCAAAAGCGGCTGTTCTTTCCTCAGCTTCACAATCCTCTTTGGTGAGAGAGTATCAATACGCTCAAAACATGTTTCGCGATATCAGGAATAGCGCAATTTTGTTTGTCGGTATTGGATATAGCTTTTTCACATATAATTGACAGGGCTCGATCTCCACCGGTTTCACCATTATTGTTGGCGTATTAACTTTCGTCCCCGATTTCAATGAACTTTCTAGCCGGAATCTGCGGCAGGGCTAGCATCAAGTAATGCCGATCTTTCGATGAAAGAGATGGAGATGGAATTACCGACGCCGATGGACGTATGTGTTTCTTTTCGTTTACTCACTGTAACATGCTGTACATAAAACCCTACCTTTCTTTATCCATCGCGTGTCGAATTCAAATTTGCCAAGATTTTCGTTTATAACAATGTTCAAATCACTATGTTTTCTACTGTGTATTTCGTATTTTTGCATAGGGTTATCATATGCATAGTGATGGTCAGTATGACAGGCCGTTTCAATTTATTTTTCTTATGGGCGAGTTCCGTCAATTGACAGAATTGATTGATCTAGCTTATATACTCAAGCCTATGGATACCGAACGAACATTTTTTTTCTGTTTTTTTTTTTAACCATGCAGCTATCATTCGACTTCTCAGTAGAGACAAAATACTTGCAAGATCAGTGATGAAGAATGGAAACCAATTATAGAGGGGTGGCATGCGACGTCGAAGGGACGCATCATGAACCGCCAAGTCAACGTGTCGGCATTAGTCGCAATCAAAATTAAAACAAAATTAAAACACCTGTGTAGGAATTAACATACAACCTCGGCCCTCCGTGCAGTTTTTGTGTCGGTTGGTGTATATTGCGTAGATGCATTGACTGGTTATTTGAGTATGATTATATGGAAGAAACCAAATGCTTAATGGGGATTGTTTATATGAGTAACCTGGTGGCTGGGACGCAGATGACCAATTAGATTGTATTCAGATTAAGAGTACGCATATGAGGCCAACAGACAGATAGGCAGACTCTCGAATACAAAGAATAGTTCCCACGGACGCTGACGCTGGTTTTAGTACAGTACACGTCATTCACAACCACTATCGATTTCCTTTTAACTCGGTATCGCTGTCTCAGCACATGTGTTACTATCGCTGTTGTGTTTTCTAAAAGCCGCTCAGTCGGTTGTATGTGTAAGTTGCAACCTATTACGGAATCGTGCTTTTTTAAAGCCTTACCACTTATCTGCAGTAAATTGTAGTATCGCGTCCGGGCCATGAAATGAGAGGATCAAAATCCTCAACATATCATCTGCGGCATGTCAATACTCTGAAGCAAGCTCTCATGAGATATCTCAAATCTCTTGTACTCTACTGCGTCTTCCTGGGGACTCGCTCGCTCACACCCTCATCACGCTCAGTATATGAACACGCAACCTTTGCTCGCCCATCCCAAACCTCGACGTGTCCGGTCGCGAAGTTATATTATTTAATCTCGAGACCATAGAGATATGCGACTGAATAACAATGCAAAGCTATTCTTAATATTTACTCTTTAACCTACCGATCTACTTGTGTTGTGAGGGGCCGAGCGGTACTCCCGAAGAGAAGAGAGGAGAGTGAAAGACGCTTAGGGATTTCCAAGTGCGACTTGTTTAACCTAACGTGCGAAGCCATATGCGCCTGCGAGCCTCCAACTCGTATCTCATGTACTTATTTTATTGTTGAGCAAACAGTACGTGTACACTCAATGAACACTGGCTACACTGTACAACATCCAGGCCCTGCTCCAGTTCGTCTCCGCTAACAATATAGTCACCGCCACATCGACACGCCTGGCTGTATGTGTCATCACTCTCATTATAATCCATGTCATCCAGATCAACCTCTCCGTTGCCGGGACAACTCTGTGTCCAGTCGGAGTTGTCGATGCGTGCGTCATATATACTTCGCTGTGTAGCATCCCGGAGTGTTGCATACGCCTCTTGTATGCAAGCAAATATATTACGTGTATTCGGCACACTCCTCCTCTTATCACATAGTACCTTTTCATCTACGCTAACTCCTGAACTTTCTAAAGTATCTGACATACTCGCGTTCGCCTCAAGTCTGCTGCAAGGCCCACTGCCAGCATTTACTTCACCTTGCGAACATCTTTGTAAACTAGGTGATACATTTGAATTTTGTGACAGTGATTGTACTTTATCTGGGTGGTACTTTAATATTAGACGGTGGTAGCTCGCTCGAATAGTAGCGGGAGATGCACATCTAGTAACGTCCAAGATATCATAGTAAGTCCTGTTAGTGTTAAGCGTCGTATCATTCGGAAGCGTCATTTGTGATTATTACTGCGTGAACGGTATTAGTTGCTGAGGATCTCCTACATTCGATTACACAGTGCCGATATTGAAATGTACGTAAATAAACATGAATTTAAAAAAAATAGGTAATGAGCCAGGGCCACGCCGCCCACGGACCGTACTCCGTAGTCTGTTGTCTATTAGTCTGTACTCTATTAACTCACACCGTCTCACAGTCTCACACACACTTCACAGAATCATATTTACAATGATACTGTAGTTAACTGTAAACCTTGCTTTTTTTAGAAAACAAAAACAAACAAAAAACAAAAAACAAAAACCCCCCAAAACCATGGCCTCCTAAAATAGAGATATTGTGGGAAAACTGTTCAATTCAGGAGGCTATGGCAAAACCCCAAAACAAAATCAGTGATATTCATTTTCAAGTCAAAACAATATTATCGATCAATGGCGATTGTGTTTGTTTTGAGCTTCAGACCTTCAGTTTGTGCCATCCATTCATCTTTTAAAATAGTGAAGTGTGTTGATAACATAATTACATAAATAACATAACAATTGCTAGCGAAGTGTGCTCATAGTTTCAACTTATACCAAACGTGCGGAACCCCTTGACTCTACAGTAGATAACATCCCATTATGTCGGACGCAGCACTAAAGAGATGTGACGAGGTCGGATCAAGTAAACATCCGCTGAAAGATGTCAAATTCTCGTACGGAACAGCGGGTTTCCGAACTAAAGCCAATACTTTGGACCCAATTATGTACCGTGTTGGCTTGATGGCTGCCTTGCGGTCCGTCAAATTTAAAGGCCAATACATCGGTGTCATGGTGACCGCGTCACATAATCCTGTGTGTGACAATGGTGTAAAGGTATGAATACTGAGTGTCTAAAAGGTTGTTGTTTTTTCTATACTCATCAAATGAGGTCACGGATACAATGAGAATCACGGAGTGTTTGTGACTTTGGTGCAGAGATAGAGGTCGACAATTACACTACATTATGATAACTTCGAAGAGGTAGATGCTGTATTGGCTTGAGACAATTCAATATATTTGCATATTAATTTTCGTTGTAGCACACTTGTTTAAAATACCCTTGTGAGAGTACGCAGTAGTCAACGTCGATATATATATATATATATATATATATATATATATATATATATGTGTGTGTGTGTGTGTGTGTGTGTGTGTGTGTGTGTGTAGTGTATGTAGTTAAGTTAGTAGTTAGTAGTTAGTAGTTTA